GTTAAGTATGTTGGTAAAACCTCTCCTTGTTATCTTGTTTTCCCTTTTAATAATTCACAATCCACATTATGGATATTTAAAATGTTCACTAGTATACGCATTATTACACTTTCCCTCTGGGCTGCGTTTTTCGAGTGTGGAAGGGCTACACTCCCAAAACATTCATTTCCTTCATACCAGACCAGAAGACGAAAAATATCTCTCCTACGGCTATTTGCTAAAATAAATATAATAATCTGGTAACTATACTTGCAGGACTATGATAAATGCGAATAAAGTATATTTATACGTTAATACATGCGAATAAAATATAAAATACATTAATTAAACTAGTTCGGTTCCGATAATATTTGGAAATTCAATTTGTTTGGCCCAAAGAAATTCGAACGTAGTAGTGTCACTCATTACATGCACACGACCACACATCCATGGCCTTTGCCCTGCGCTGCGCGTATTCTCAGCGACTGTTGGCTGTCATCGGCATCTAGAGAGTTCTGTCCTCTCACAAAGCTTGAAGCGCACCCGGCAAGTGAGATAGGTCAACCCTACGAACCGTCTTCCGCGCTGTTCCCAGGTTCGATGCCAGTCACTGTCCTGCCGACTGTCCGCCAGCTTTCTGTCCTCGTGTAAAAGCTGAACGAGAAACTGATCTAACGACTGTGTGCACTTCTGCAATACTTTCCGTAAAGCTTAGGCTGTACCCAATAACGCGACCCGTTGAAGGTCGGTCAAGTTCTTAGATAATGCTTGCGGAACAAATCCCAGAGCTCCGATAGATATCGGTACGATCTGTGTTTGTAGTACGACATAAATGCGGCTGATCTCGATTTCCAAACTCTTGCATTTATTGTGTATCTGTTTGGTTACTATCTTATCACGTGGACAGCAACATTACAAACGGACAATTGTCTTTTATTATCTGTATCCCGCTTAAAAAGGTTTTGGTATTTGTTGCTGGTATCGAACGATGAGTATGAATTAGTTGATTATTCAGCATTGTCCTCAGTCCTACAGAAGCCACAAGTTTCGGTGTGTTCGGACCACTAGGAGCATATGCTCGGAACTTTCATGACGTTACTGATGGACAACTCCATCACCTATCGTGCCTTTTCGTGTGTTTGTGTGTGTCATGTCTCAGCTTGTTCAGTTCTAGCAATAGTTTCTACCCGTTTGTAAAAAATTAAGCAATTATCAACCAGGAAACTTGGAGAAGCGATTTATCAAGTGTTCTCAATGCCTGCGCTTGAGTAGCTATTATAACTTCTTCCAATTCGGCTCCCTTCTTAAATTTTTTAGCTGCATAAATGTTTGTTCTTTGTTGACATGTATTATTTTTAAATTAATTCTGGAAGTTTTCTGGTCCATCGATACTCCAGTTTGGGAGAGTATCTTAGGCCTATTCACTCTAAGCATTCGCATTCGTGGTGTGCAGGTAATATCTGATCGTTGATGATGAGTGAGTGAGAAGTGTTTCATATTCTATTCATGAAACCATAAAAAATTGTCATGACTTCCACTCGTTTATTAATGATATTTTGTAAGGGTAGCTTCCTGCACGTCCCGCCCGAAAAAATAAACCTGTTCTACATAGGAGTTTAAATTTGAGTATCATCTGATGACCCTAAAGCTAACTGTCGAAACATGAACGTGTACTGATGTGATTTTATAATAAATTGGTTATTATTGTTTGCGAACATTGTCAAAACATAAGTTAAATAGCACACAGGAATTCATCTTCTAATTAATTCGTAAAATTCCTCTCCAAAAAATCCGTGTTGTAGGTCTACATCAAGGCGTTGCTTTTACGTATCAGTGTCTCTTTTTATGCATCCGCTCTTTTTTTGTCTTTGTGTGTGTGGGGGGGGAGGGAAGGCGGGTATCGCAATGCATTCCTTGGACTTGGCGCGTTGGCGAATGCTGGCTCTCGCGATCGCTGTGAGTCACCCTGGCAGGCGTGCTGGCGGAGGCGGAGGCGAGTTTCACCCACTCTAATAGACGCCTCCCTGTCCCCCCTTTCACCCACGGTCGCCGACTTGCGTGATTCCTCCGCCGTATCCGGTCTAGGGATATGACATCGCCAGCAAAGTAGCCATTTCGAGTTTCAAAATGAAAATATCGATGTTAATAATTGTATTTTGAACAAATATGTTAGAATACTCGGCAACATATGTACAAACTATGAATAAAAATAATTATAATATGTAATGTCAAATTTATAGAACATTCACAACCAACCTAAAAATTTAAACATCCTAAATTTCATTCATCATAGAATTGATCCTAAATTTAAACAATTTTAAATTATAATTTTAAAACATTTATTAAACCGTTTTTAAAAATAAATATTTCTTGGCCTTACTGAATTAACTTTTTTAAGAGTGCATTTGTGTCTTTAAGAGCAATGATAGCCATCCCTACAAACGTGGGAACTCACTGTCCGGCCAACAATCGCCATACCATTTGTCTCCGTAGTTCTAAATGTCTGCAGCAACCAATATTTTTCGTAGATTGGGATCAAATATCAAGAAACATGACGTCACTGATACTTTTCATGCTTACATGTAATATTCCCAAACCTCAGGCCCATTTGTCGCGACATGTAAGCAGTGAAGACGGAGGTTAGCCCAAACAGACAGCGTTTTCACGTGGAACACGTGGCATTGTCATCACGCATTTCTGAATTTGTTAGAAAAATACACATATTTTTTAAATAAATATTATTTTTGAACATTTATTAAATGTTTTTTGCGAAATATATTTCATGAAAATTGGTAATATAATACAAATTTTTGCAATTAAAAAAAGTAAAATGTGTAATGTACAATATGCAGTGTAAAAAAATGTAAAGAAAAATTTGGATTTTCTGTTAGGTTTGTCATGATTTGCCGATGTCACAATTCGGAGAACTGAACATACCAGAAAGACAGAAAAGATGTAATACATCGTACTCAAAGCATCGAGGTTTATAAAGCATCCACCAACTTTAAAACTTGTCTAATAACTTCCAACATTGATGACTGCAAGGAGGCGGTAATTTGACGGAAACCGTGCCTATTAATTTATAATTGAATGAAAATTCCCTGACAAAAGCAGTACGCAAATGATCAGAACAATGAACAAAACTTTCATTAGCGGATCGAATATTACATACAAACATAAGTGAGTAAATTTATTTACGGAACCTTACCTAACTTATTTTTCGCGATTGTTCATATTGGTAAGAAATAATGTTAAATTTATTGACATAATGTTTTGCTTATTTTGTGGTACTTGTTCGTTCAAGAAATTTTGAAAAGTCGACCACATACAAATATAGAGAACAAAACATGTTTTAAAAAAAAACACCACCAACAACAACATTGCCTTCAATGAATCGACGTTAAATACTTCGAAACAGTAGTATCCCGGAAATCCGAACTGATCGGGACTGTGGTCTGTTCAAATTCGGAAATGTTCCGATTATCCCATAGGATTACCAGACAATGCAACGTAGCATAGCAATCGCATCAAGGAGATTCAATTCCTTACAGCAAAAGATAACCGATTTTGCAAGTTCCTCTAAGTGAAAATTACTGCTACATAAACATATGATATGCACCGTAGTTACGGATGCAACAAACGTTTCTTTTCAACAACTTCAATATTTATTTGTTCAGTTCTGCAGTAATTAAAAAAATCCTTTCTGTACACTACAAGTAAACATTTTATTTTGATTATTTTCCTTCATCCCAAATTTTGTACGTATTATCCAAAATTTCGGATATGCAGGGTTCGAAATAGGGAGGTTCTACTGTATTTTCAAAACATGGCCATGAATGTGGCATCCCTAATCCCACCCAGCTGGCTGCGCTCGCCAGGGGTCTCGCCCTCCGTCTGCGCGACACAGCCGCTCGGCGAAGGCGGCGGCGGCGGCGGCGGCGGCGGCGGCGGCGGCCTTGGCCCGCGCCTCCAGGGCCGTCCAAAATGTAACCTCTTTTCTTCGCCTGGCTTATCTTGCTCTCCATCAACCATTCATTAGTTCATTCATTTCTCATTTCGTTTCTTCCTTTATGGTCCTCTCCTTTTATCCTTTCCTTCTTTCTTTCTTTCTTTCTCTCTCTCTCTCTCTCTCTCTCTCTCTCTCTCTCTCTCTCTCTCTCTCTCTCTCTCTCTCTCGTACGTTCGCTCGAAATAGCATTTCCATTAGAATTGACTGCCTATAATAATTATAGTTATTATTGTTTTATTCGCACCTAGTTTACTTTGTAATTTGTGCCTGTTTGTGAACTTACGCGTGCCTTGTACCATTGGTGTAAGTTTGGGATGTCTTTCGCGCCGTCATAGCACGGTAGTTTTTTTTTTTTTTTTTTTTTTTTTTTTTTTTTTTTTTTTTTTAATTCCTAGGACATTCTTAAGAACCTCTTTTTGTGGGATGCTTCCGAGAATCTGCGTCCGTGGTTGCCGTTAGATTTGACTCCTTGCACTCGAAGCGAGAATGACCATGAATGACCGAGAATGTACCATACACACAAGGGAAAAAAGTGTTCTTTTTTTGTGCAAAATTATTTACTAATTTTGTGACATACGACTTGTAACTGAAATCATACAATATTGAAGGATCCGATCTTGGTCGTTCTGTCCTATGTGTTCCATTTTGGGAATTTACTTAACGAGCCTCAACCTGAATTTCCTCTTTGTGGCTTGGTGAGCGTGAAAGCAATTATTCCTTCTGCAATTGATCGTCATCAGCTCAGCAGTCAAGCATGCCAAGTTAATCTGATTTCAAGGCGTTTCGAGGTTGGACTTCTTTGCTTGTGCGGCGGTAGGCTGCAGAGCGGCTCGCTGCCAGGCCGACCGTTAGCCCCGGTGAAAACGAAGCGCCCAATCAGAGCAGAAACAATTGCCTTCGGAATGACGGGTGCGGAACCGGAAGAACCTTGGAAAAGAAGGCGAGGTGGGCTGCCGCGTCCTCTGCTGCCTCGTGGAGTTGAAGAGCTAATTACCTAGATCGCTGCATCATCATGGCCGACGTAAAACTCTCCCAATTCGCACATATTTTAAGTTACATTTCCTCTACCTAATCTTCATGGTCCGTTCACTTCTTGCTAATAAAAGTCGGTAGTTCTCTTAACTGAACGCTTTCACGGGTTCACGGGACAGCAACTGGAGATCAATGATACTTTAGATTTATTCAGTCAAAAAAACAGTAAAATCTGTATGTGACGTAGAGGGGGAAAGATTATAATTAAATTGCATTTCCCCTGTTTCGGACATTTTATGTTTTTACTGCCGGTTACGTGCCTCAACTTTCAGAAGCACTTTAAATAGTTGAAACTTTTTTTGGTATTCCTTACATTATTGAACTCGATAAATCTTTATTTAAACATTGTATCTAATAATGTATACTTTTGAAAATACTACAGAGAGTTGTTACTCGCAATTACAAAATGAATTTATAAAATTTAAGAATGATTTCTTAAGTTATTATTTAGCAACGAGGTATCAATCAGTCAAATAACATGATTTGATTATATTCAAAATTGGGCGAAAGTTAGAGATGATGTTACGGGAATGTGTGCTTTACTTTTTCCCCCTATTCTAAAGAATGTCGCTCTCCAGTAAAAAATAACGTAAGCCATCTATGAAAAATGATTGAAAAATATCTAGCGAAACTATGTTGGAACTGAAATACAGGGTGTGGATCTACCCCCTGCTGTCAGCTGGGTTTCAAGGACAATGTTGGAAGGCAGTTTCTGACCTCAATTTCCATCTCCTCCTCCTCCCCCCCCCCCACACACACTTGTATCCCTGAGGCAGTCATCCACGCGTGCGCCGTACTTATTACCTAACTAAAACCAAACTTACGACATGCCAAAGTTACATCATGCCTTAACTAACGTATTGCAGGTATGGTATTTTAGCCATTTCCTTAATTTTTTTATCCGTTCACTTCCTGATTGACTTCCCTATTCGCACTTTATTATTTACATTTACCTCGTAAGGAATTCGTACAATGAGTTAAAAAAAGTATTCGTACTCTAGTGGATTTTTAACCATATTGTAACTGTTCCGAAATAATTAACTCATCAGTTCATATTCTCAAAATTGTATGAACAAAATTGTATAGAAATGTTAATACCAGAAACAAAAGAAAACACTTGTACAAAGCAGATGGAGACATTGAAATGTTCCAATTGCTTTTGGATATGATTTTTTTCTTTCTTTCCAAATTTGTTTCTGTTCCTTTCCTTTTTTACGCCGCCTATCGACTACATACCAAAAATTATGCAAGGCTACTTCTATAATAGTAGCATAGAGACGTTTCCCTGGCCTTGCAGATTCTCCAAGAGTCAGGCGCGTGGGAACCAAAGCAGTTACGGATGCCCTTGGTGTTCGAATACTATTTGCGTCCCGAGCTTTGATGAACTAGAACATTTCAATGGCTCTGTCTGCTTTTTTCAGATGTTGTTCTTTTGATTTTGGTATTCACTTTTCCATGCACATATATCAATTCATATTTTCAACATTTCAACATCTAAGTTAATGATTGCTTTTTAGTTACAATAATTGCTAAAATGCAATAGTGTACGAATATTTTTTGCACCCATTTAGACGAGACTCGTCAGGCTATTTGGCAATCCTGTAAATTGTTCAACATAACATAGTTTGAATGTATTCACTGTATCATTAAAGCTATATTTTTCTGCTTCTAGTATGTTTTATTCGTGCCCTATAACGTCATTCGTAAGGAAACCAGTTGAATGAAAGGGCGGTGTGCTGAGGTGCGGGGCGTTTGCTGTTGCAGGGCCAGGCGAAGGCGCGGGGCCGGGGCCCGGCAATGCCCGCCGCCGCCATGGGGTCGCGCGTGGCGCGCCGCCTGCTGTTCCTCGTGCTGCTCTGGGGGTTGGTCATCCTGGCCGTGCTGCACTTCCGCAGCTCGCACGTAGCCATCGCGGGCCGCCAGCTGAGCACGCAGCTCGGCAACTTCGTGGGCAGCCGCCTGCTCCTGCAGAGCATCGGCCACGGCGCGGGGGCGGGCCCCACGTTGCCCGCCGCCGCCCTCAACGGCGTTGCCGTCGCCGCCGACGACCCCGACGTCTTCGTCCTCGACGGCTTCCTCGACCTGGAGCCCAGCGTGGACCAGTCGCCCGCGCGCTCCGAGGCCATGGTGGTGGAAGACGTGCAGCGCCAGATCCCCAGCCTGCCCATAGCGTACTGGAGTCGACACAAGAACAAACCCATGTACTATAAGAACGAAAGCTGTGCCAAGTTTCCCAGCATTTTTGAGCTGGAATTTAATAATGTGTACTGGCAGGTTCTTCAGTCGACGAACGGCACTTTTCAGTTGTACGGTGCTTATTATGATGTTAGACGTTTTAGTAAAATCGGACCTGCGATTAGAATATTAGGAATGATTAATAGGATTGAACCGACTGTCAAAACATACTGCCAACTGTGGTTTGAGAGTCTAAAAGAACCGGTTTTAGTGAAAGTTATGGAATATAAGTATATATGGTACAAAAAATGGGGAAATTATAAACAGGGAATTTATCAGCCCTATTTGATTGCTTGTCAGATTCCTTCAAAATATCATAAATTAGTTCCAGCTTCTGTATCTGTGGTTGAGAAACCATGTGATACAGCGTCAAATAATTTAAGAGTGATTTATAATAAGCCTGCTGAGAAAAAAGACTTTGCTGTTTGTGTCAAGGGCCTTGATTTCCTTCATGAAGACTTGTCTGTGCGTTTAGTAGAGTGGATAGAACTTCTAGGTACTCTAGGTGCTGATAAAATATTTTTCTACGAGCTTCAAGTTCACCCTAATATTTCAAAGGTGTTGCGGTATTACGAGCAACTTAATCGGGTGGACGTGACCCCTCTGACTCTACCAGGTGGACAGCCGAACGTACCAGGATTCCAACATATGTATTTAGTGCGAAAAGTGAATCATAAAAGACAGAATGAACTTATTCCATATAATGATTGTTTGTATAAGAATCTTTATACTTACAGATATATAGCACTCCTGGACATTGATGAAGTCATTATGCCTATAAACACAAACTCGTGGAAAGAATTAATGGATATTGTGGAAGTAAAAGCATTGGTTCAGAAAAATGAGACACGTGCTTCATACAATGTTAGAAATGTCTACTTCCTGGATGATCTTATCCATGAACATGGTTGGTTTAAGGATATACCAAAGTATATGCATATGTTACAACATGTATATCGTAGCAAGAATTTCACAAAACCAAACCAGTATGTCAAATGCTTCCATAATCCAGAAAGGGCCCTTACTCTGCATAACCATTTTCCCTTGGCATGTTTAGGTTCTGGCTGCACTTCCTACTCTATTACTACATCAGATGCTCAATTACAACATTATCGTGCAGATTGTGTGCGGAACTTAAAAAAATCATGTGTTGAATATCGTCAAAATAGCATTGTGGACACAACTATATGGAAATTTAAAGATAAGTTAATTAAACGCACCACTGAAACTCTGAGGAAATTAGGTTTTTTCAATTTAAAAGATGCTCGTGCACATAAATTAGGAGTTTCATGATAGTCTGTCCTCTTAAAGCATTTCATGTACTCGACAAATTTCAGTGGAAATTTTTCTATGTAAATGATTGCAATTAGCTCCAATTTGGGGGTTTTGGTGATTAGTGTGCATTCTTGCAACGTTGGGGTTAATTTTGATGTTGGGGTTGATAACTTATTAAATCATTGTTGCCCCTCTATTAGGAATATCAGACATCAGAAGTCATGATATAGTGGTACTGATTATTTTTTACCATTTTAAAATAGATCCTAGGGCAAAGGAACACAGAAAGCAATTATGGTGATAATGTATTCAACCTCTGTATATCAAGTCTATATTTGTAATTTAAAATGGTTAAAAAATTTAGAACGGTTACAAATGATTTTTTAATGTAAGCAAACTTCTTTTAATTTCTGTTTTCTCACTTTCTGAAATACTGTTTTCTGAAGTTTTGTTTTATTTAAACTGTTAAAATTGTCAGGAAAAATTTTAATTAGTGTTTAACCTTGTGCATTACTTTTTTATTGAAATTTACAATTTTGTGGTGAATATCATTGAAATGCTGTTTAAGGATGCTGAACATTGAAATTTGCATACAATATCTCTCCAAATTACTATGAAATTGCATTGGCACATGTAGCAATGACTCATTGAAAATGCATATGGTGTTTACATGATGTCTGATCAGCTAGATATCATGTGTCTTAATGATACAAGACAATTCATTGACCAATAATATGTTGAAACAACAAAGGAAAATTAATTTTTGTGGATAACATTTTCCTTTGAAGATAGATATTAAATGTAGATATATAAATTAATAAATATATAAAACAGGTCGACAATTTGAAAGTATTTCTAAATTCTAGATGAAAGTGGGTGTTTGTATATCAGATCGAGAAGAATACGAATCTGATTTGGGTTTTTGCCTCTTATATTCCATTGTTGAATAAAACACACTTTTAAAACAATTCTTATATTCAATTGGCAACAAACACAAATTTGTAGCTTGGATGCAAAAAATTAATAGATCTCGTATGTCTTACCATTACTACACCCCTAAGTATTTACTCAAGTTGAATTGAAATTGATTTCCCATAATAAAAATGCACAGCTGTTGATTTTCTTTTGTGGATGGTTTGGTCATCACAGCGAAGCTGCATGGCGATCAGTCTCAATGAGCATGCAGCAAATGAAGTTCCAATGGCACGCAGCATCCAATGTCTTAATATTCTCAGAGCAACTACTGCATGCTTTCTTTGTAATCAGAAGCACAGAGGAGAACCAAGAAAACTGTGTATAAGTCATTGAAAGCTTTTCCACACACTCTTTTCAGGACTACTCAGTCGCTTATCTGATATTAGGTCCTTCAAAAGCTCTGATCTGCGATCTCCCAAGGACACTTTGAGTTTGGCAGGAGATATTTTGAAAAGTTTGGACTGGAGTACAAAAGGACAGGAAACCGTTCAAATTTCTTTTGCCAGTGTTTATATAAAGGTTTTATCCAAACCAAGCTTAATGGTGGCAGTATCGCCTCTTGTGCAGCAACCAATGGAACACGCTGGTCATTTTCTTCTCCTGGGTTGAGGTTACTTCTTGGCTTCCAGTCACATCTATTAAGTTACATATCCCTCAGGCATAAAACTTGGTAAACCCTCCATGTAAACCCATCAACATACTAATGACTTTTATATCTCCATAGATGTTCCGTTGAATTGATTATTCTGAATTGCTTCTAGTACAGTATTCAAAATTTCATAAGCTTCTATCTAATGAACAGAGTGAGCAGTGGATAAAGACAGCTTTAAATTGCAATAATAATTATTAAACTGTACTGCAAAATTGCAATCGTTTGCCTTATCTATTCTTTATGAAGACCGTGGATACAATTCATGTTACATTGTGCAAGGGAAGTCCTTAGAGAGTTCCCTGAAAGGCTGTCCCATTTCAACAAAAAAGTTGTGCTATTTCCGAGAAACTATGTGGAAAGCAAAAACTGATACTGTATTTGAAATCGGCACTCGCACCTCTGTTTTTTACATCATTTGGCTTTTTGTGTGAAAAAGCATTGTTGACCTGTGTAATAAATAGAGTATGGAAATCCTATCACTGATCTTCTTTTTTAATTCACAATTCATTTCCAGATGTGCCAAATTGTTATTTCATGGCAATTTACTATTAGATTTCTGCTGTAAACGTGCCCTGACAATTTAATGCATGTGTGGAATAATGCATACCCTAACACAGCTTTTCTCTAAGGAAATGTGATTCTAATATTGTCATTTTAAAGTTTCTGTTTATTGCCATCCATAAACTAATGTTTAGTAGTAGGACTTCCTACTGTACAAAATGATCATCAATTTTTTGTGGTCTTCACTTATTGATTATTTTAGGTGACTTTTTTTTTTGGTGGTCCTGCATTACATCTTTTTCTTTTGACAAATTTTATTATTATGTATTCTTTAGTGAAATATGTACATCTCTTTAAGGTGTGATGAGGACTTGTATTGTGATTATAGGTAATTTGTTGTATTAATAAAAATAATAATGTCATTTACATTGTAATGGAGATTGTGAATCTCTTGAAAAGAAAAGTGAGATTTGTTTAAGCAAATGAGCAATTTGATTATAATTCTTACATGTAATGTTGTCTTGTATAATGTTATAGAAGTAGTACGAAGCCTGTAAAAACAATGACCAAATGATTATTGGCCATCTTAGATCTGTATCACGTTTTAAGTGACTGATAAGTGTGCTTTTGTGGCCAGACGTTTGTTGAAAATGTTCCTCCATACGCTGACAAAACAACTGAATAAGAAATGTAAAATTTATAATTAGAACTTTCTTTGAATACTTTTTTTCTGCCTGTTATTTGTAGATAAGAAAATGTCCAGCTATTTTAAATGAACGAGGGGGGTGAAAAAGCATTTTGTAATACATTGTTATTATATACCGGTGACGTGTAGCAGCAAGAGCTACTTATCTATTCAGTGCCACATAATCCGTTAATTTTGGTTTTTCTTCTCCTGTGGCACTACTGCTTAAATCAGCCCTAAATTTTGTGTACTCACAGTAAAGCCATTCTTTTAAACTACACAGATGAATTCTTTCACTTTGACATAACTCTCGACTTTCATCAGAGTTATGTCAAACCAAGACCTTGAATTACTATGTACAATTAATATTACAGACAATGCTACTTGGTCTTCTCTTTTCTACTTTTTAGATTAAAGTTGTCGACTGGATTCAGAGGCAAGTTTAATTGGTAATTCTCAAACCTATTTCATCATCAGGTGTATTTCCTTTTCATTCTTGTTGTGTGAATACAGTTTTATATCATGCCTGATCTGAGCTTGTAGCGCCATCTGGGAAAAACAATTTTTAAATTTTAAATGTTGTGCTTATTAGATGCTTGTTCTGGAGAAGTGGCAGGTTCTACTTCAGCTTTTGATATGAAGATATGACATTAAAAATTATACGATCATAAGATGAGATCTTATATATGATATTAAACAATTTGTAGAAAGAGCATACCAAAAATGTGTCAGTAGATGAAGTAGAACACCTCAGCTTTCCAGAACTAGTTCTTAAAAGTTTGCTTCTGAGCAGCATCGACAACTTCGACCTAGGAGAAAGAAAAATGAGAACTGAGTAGTGTTGTCTGTGAATTTTTATGGTCAATATCAATTTTTCTAGATTGAGAAAAATCATTTAATTACATATTGCGATTGGCAACAGAGAGAATACATTTACATGTACCCAAATAAATCAGAATTGTATAGGAGAGAGTTGTGGTATTGGAATACGCTGTGCACATCACAGACAACTATAGTTTTTCACTTTTAAATCGGATGTATAAAACTGCTATTCATATGTAAGAATTTTCTTGCTAGATTGAGTTGCTTTTGCAATTGCGTGCTGCAATGTAAGAGTGTTGCTTCAATCACTTTGTTACATTACTCTGGAGAGTCAAAATTTTCTATTAATCTCTTCTCCACATAGCTTGCTTTTCTGGGGGAGCATCACTTAGTTTCCTAATGTGTAACTGATTATCACCAAATTTAGTGAATGCAAAATCATACTGTCATTAGTCACCACCTGTTAATTTCATTTTCTGTATGTTCCATTGTGGATGTTCTATGGCAGCTAATAAATAGTTGTAGGCTTTGTATTGTTATTACTTTGCCATTGTTGAACAGATGAAGTTCATTGAAGTTGTGTCCCAAAGGATAAATACAAAATTTTCATTATTACCCTTTATTTCAGTATTAGATCATCAGAATTTTAAAGCAATATTGTAATGAATCATATAATATCAGTGAAATAACTTTTGAATGTTTTCAAGCTGTTTTATGTTTTTATTTGTAGTTTTTGTCTGTAATTTTTTAGACAATTTTATAAATCATTGAAAACAGAGACACATTAATCAGAAAAACAATTTAGATTAAACAGTGGTATTGAAATGTAGCATTACTTTTTAAAGTTGTACATCTATGTTTCAAGGACTTCTTTACCTTTTCAAGAGTTACTTTCAAAATACATTTTTCGTTTTTTGAAACACATTTCTTTCTCTATATAAGAGTAAGACAAAGAATTCCTAATACTTTGATGGAAGCCTTCTCTGTATTCAATGGCATCAGAGTGAGAGCGTAGGCTTCCGCGGCCGGAGTCATAAAAATGGCATCAGAGTTTAACCAGAGACCAGTTTAATTTAAAGTATGTTGTCTGGTTAATGCAGCTCTCTTTTTAATAGTTTTAAAAAAAAACATTTAAAAATTCTGGACCAAAATCCTATAAATAGAAACTTAACAACAGTCTGATACATAATCGACTGTTTGAAGTTTACTTTTAAATTTCAACTATCGTGAACTAAGAGTGATGAATGGCATTTGTGAGTAGTGCCAAAGATATAAATTTATGTATTGGTTGTATGTTTTTAATATTTGTTAAATTGGGAAGATTGGCAATATTCTTCATTGTAATGCTTGATTGATTTCTGTATTTTTATCCTTTTCTTTTAATACATTATGCTAGAAGAAAATAGCTGTACATATAGTTTTGATTTGAATGGAAATAGGCAGCAAAAAACAATCGTCAGGCCAGGATACCTGCATGCACTTCACAAGAAGTGCTGTTTCTTAGTAATTGTTGATATTTGCAATCTGACTGTTCAAATGATTATTTTGAAATTTTTAACCTCGCACAAAAATATGAGTATACAATTTGTTTTTTATGAAAATTTCAAATATTTTAAATTCACCTTTCACTATAAATTTGTATACTCTGTTCAATTAACTTAATGGGAGACTTGGAATTCTTTACCATAAACTAGTCTAATTGAGAATAGTTAACTTGTTTTGTGCTTCTGATACGATATTGAAATATAATGTACTTATGGATGTATGCAATTTATTCCTAGTCACTAATGTATTGTTTCATGCAAGTTAATAAAAGGCATGTGCATAGGCGTACGCAAAGGAGGGCTGTGCCTTCCTTGAAAATTTCTAAAACGACCCCTAAACACTATATAATAAAACATTTTATTTCAGTAAATGTGATCAGTTCTTCATCTTCTCCTTTTAAGCTGACAATTTGAGAAATTGAGACAAAAGGGGGGCCTCTTTGGGGAAGAGGCTTTTCAAAATATCTACCAACTCTGTGTATGGTTCAACATAAAATCAATTACATTAGTTAATTGTACATTAAAGTTATAATTCCATTTTCCAAGGAGTATGTTTTATTTATTTATTAGTAACATGTATGTAAATAAAAAGTTTAATGGAAAAGGGAGCCTAGAGGGGTCTATAAATGAAGTTCCCCCTATTTTGTTTTAGAGTGTGTACACCTAAGGGCATGTGCAAGATGATAGAGAAGAAACCATAAACTTCCATTGGAAAAAGCATTCCACTGGTTTTAAAAACCAAGAATGAGTATATTTCTATATAATAATAGTTGGTTTTGTTAGGGGTATGGAGTTTCATTATTTGCTGAAATGATTTTTGACATGACTGTATGTCAATGATCTGATTTTGATATGATCTCTGTGCCATTTAAAACCTTTGTTTATTGTGTCAGCAGTATATATGACATTAGAATCTTCCCTAACTCTGCCTCATTTAATAATAAATTTAAACAAGTTGTTAATTTAAATAAGTCATATTTTTAGTTAGTATGTTTATTCTTATTTTATATGAACTAAATAAGAGAAAGTAATTCAAAGCAACTAAGATGAAAATGTCAAACATTGTTTAATTCTCTTGTTTCACCACCGTGTAGCAATATGAATGTTTCTTTGTGTCATGCTATTTCTATATTAAATTATAACTAACATAGTTTTACATTTGAGTTATGTTCCAATGCTCTTCGTTCTGTAATGTTTCGGGGGGGAAAAAGAAAGAAAAAAAAGAAAAATAAACCTTTGCAACTTCAAAAAGTAATATGTAGATGGGAAGCTGGCTGTGCAGTCTTAGATTCTCTTGTCTTTCATTTCCAGCTAACTGCCTCCTGTGCACTCAAATATGCTTTCTGTGTAGAGAGAATATCCAAATCTTTATATTGACTAAAAATAATTATGTTAAACTAATAGTACAAAAATGTACCCGGAACATTCACCTATTGGTGTATACCATTTGTTTAGTAGTTTGCTTTACTTGTAAATTCTCCCTTTCTTTTAGAGGAAATTTTTAAAATATTGTTTTTAAAGCCTTCTGAACTCTCCTTGTGTATTTATCATTACTATTGGTTCATCTGTGACAACGTTCTCAAAAGATTGGTGAACAGTTATATTTCATCAGATTTCTTCCATTCTATTATGGTTTCTGGATTATTTTTACTGTACGAATATAAAATTCTTTCATTTATATCCGCCACTGTTTTACAGGAACATGTTAGAAGCTTAGAAACATTAGTTCAGGGGGTAATAAAAAAAAATGCCTGATACTTTATATAGATATAGTATTTTTCATTAGAATTCTGTTAAATTTTCATGCAAAACTATTTGGAATCAATATTTATTTATTTATCCAAGCCTCATAAGTTAATTTAAATCCAACCACTAACAGATAAGGCAACCAAAGCAGTGTTGCTGATTGTGCAGATAATATGAAAACTATCACGACAAAAGGTTGGAAATAGCATGCCTAATGTGCCAATGTCAAAATAGCAGAATTTGTGCATGATTCTGAGAATTTCTATTCTTTCATTTGCTCCATTGATTGTGTACTAAATCATAGTTTGTATAATTTAGAAATTATCATTATTCATCGATAAAGCATTTCCACATTCAATCTTTTTACTTTTGCTTTTTCTTTTTATGTATGTGGTATTTATCATTTTATGAATTCGTAAATCACACTAAAGGCTAAGGATTTCCCTCCTGTAATATTTCATCTTTCAAAATAATTATAAAAAGATAATTGCTTTCTTAACTTTTAATTTAGGCTAGAATTTGTTTGTGAAATCAGAATTGTCATTCACATTTTGCATCTCTTACATGCTAAACAGATGTTACTCTGCATTTTAATTTCTTTGAGAAAGTCCCTTTTTTGTAGTTTTGGTTTTAATACTATCCAATGTGTACATATGTTTACAAATTAATTGTAAGAAAGTTTTTAAGTACATTAATGTGTGAACATAAACATAAATATATTTTGAATCCAAATGTTATAAAAGTGAAATAGTAAAATTTGTGCTAAGTAATTTATTATTTTAAATTTTATATTTCTATAAATTACTGTTAAATAATGTAGTACCTCTGTTGCTGACATTCTTGCTCAAAGATTGTGATATTTTTAGTTTTCTCTCTGTAGTGTGTAAATACTGAATGCTACTAAATCATAAATGTTTCACTTTTGGAAGTGTAGTGCATGTGAAGAAATATAAAAAGGAATTTTTCAATGAATGTTGAGCTATTGAGACGAGGTGACATTGAAGCTGAGGACAAAGGCCCCAAGGCTAAAGTAGCTACAACATTGCCATCAGTAAGTGATATTAATGCAATTAGTTTCATACTCTTGTATTGTAACTTACAATGGTAAATGTATGTAATTGTGAATGCATAAAGCTTCGTATGGAGAAATCCAAAAATAATTTGATATATTGATTTTTATATTGAGATGGTGTTAATGTGATTAGTATAAATATATCACCTCTTTTTACGGATTGTTGAACAATGTGTGTTGTTTCAACTATATTCATTGTTTCAAAAGTTAGATTAAGTTAACATTCTTGCCTAGGTTCTTAAATAGTTTCTTCCAGCCTTGTTAGTTGATACATTACTATTAAGCAGAAAATGAAAATAGTAAATATAGATGCAAACATTAGCATTTACTTTTATGAAGCAAGGTCCGTGTGAAGAAGTTAGGTATTATTTGTTAGTTTTTGAGTCTTACAATTACCATTATGTATTATTTTATTTTACGCATACTTATGTTTATTCAAGAGTATAACAACTAGCTTGTAGCTTCAATGTCTGTTACTAAATTATGATTGCAAGAAAGAAATACACTTGATTTAAAAACCTATAAAAAATAAACTTGTAATAATAATGATTGTGAAGAAAGATTGAAGAACAAGAACGATCATGTACATTCAATTCTCAATGCTTGGAATTGTTATTATAGTAATTGTTCTTCAATCTTGATTTTTGCTCCTCTG